GATACAAACTGGCTGAGGAGCAAAAACTCAGTCCCTTGACAAGCAAAAGGGCTTGTTACAATTTATTTAATGTGGGTGTGACATACAACATGTAAATACAAGACAGTTACAGGTCCCAAGTGGAATTCAAATTCAAATTTTAACACTGCTGACCACTGCAATGCTCACAGCATGCAGACACCCACCTAGGATGGCATCCAGGGCCAAGGGGCACTGCCTCAACACTTCCTTGTAGCTTGTCACCGAGGAGCGTTCCTGACCTGCCTTCTTGTAGAGATTTGCCAGCATCATATTGATCTGCAGACAACAGAAATGAGGGGACAGCCAAGAATGAGAAAGAAGAATCACTAAGAAAGGTCACTACTCTGTATTCAAGCCTGCCTGCCTCTGTTCTCAGCCTGCCTTTCTGAGAACACTCTAAGGTATAAAATGAAAATTGTGGCTTCTTTCTGAGTACACAGATAAAATCTACATTCTTTTGTACTTGCACTGTGCACCTTGAAATCTGTATTTGCATCAAAGAAGTCAGAAGATGGGCTCATATATGATGCCAAGAAGGATCTGCACATCCATTAATCAGTCGCTTCCAGGAAAATCTCTGTATCCATGGAAGTGTTTGAATTAGCTTAGCAAGGCAGAGAAAGTTTCTATTCAGCTCCTGAATGAAGCCATGATTGATTAAAGAAATCATCTGAGCTCTACACAAGGCAAGTAGCTGGTTTCTGCTAAAGCACTTTCATTTACTGCTGTTTCTAGGCAAAAAGTTTGCTTTTCTCAACCTTTTCATCTTTTTCTGCTCTGTAACTTGATCTTTGAACAAAACACTCTGACAACTACTGAAGTTCAAGCTGTGCACACTTTTAGGACAATTTAACATGAAAAACAGTTGACTGATCTGATGTGTTAATCTTTTAAGCCCTTCAGAGTAACAGAGCCAGCAAGCAAAGACTCCACAGCTTTGGCACTGCAGACCACAAAGGGATCTAAATATTTAACATTGTCTAAACTGTTGTTGAAAAGGATTAAAAGATTTTTACAAGATGGAGCACTGGCAAGCCTTGTATTTGCCAAAGTCTTCAGCCTTTCAAGGATTTTACATTGCTCCAACTACACAGGAAATTAATAAAAAGGCACAAAACATTTAACTCCTTTTGGGGTTTTTTAAGTTCTTTCTAATAGTGGAAATACAAATCAGGATGATTTTAAAGAAAAGGATTCAAAACAGCAATTTAAAATTAGGAAAAGTGACCAAACAATATTTAACTACTGAAAAAGAAATAATGACATTATACCTATATTCTGTGTCCTGCCCTAAAGATATACAAGAACAAGAAGCTGTGACAAGAACCTGCCAAAACTCACCTTTGGAGTTCTCTGCCTGGAGGGAATCCCATCAAGAATAGCAATGGCATCTTTATCTTGCTTCAGCATTGTGTAACACTCAGCCATTTTGTATTTCACCTCAATTTCTGATGGTAAACACTGAAACAAAACAGAAAGATTTTAATAAGATGTTGGTTTAATCAGGTATGAAATTTTTAATATAGTTTCCTCATAAATATTTACAGTGTGTTGAAAAATATCCAGTGCAAGTAAGATAATAATACAATTTCCTGCTAGTTCATATTGTTCCTCCCTTCAAATTAAAACTCTGAAGTACACATACAGAAAAATTTTATGTTGGGACAACATTTTAAGTTTTGCATTAGAAAACACCACACAGATATTATCAAGAGCCATAAATGCCAGGTTTATTTGACACAAAAAATGCAAAACCTAAGGTATTTAAAAGAAGTAAAAGTGATTATCAGTGAACATGGATAGTGAGGGACTTGGCAGGGACTCGATCTGAAGGATCTTTTCCAGCCTCAATGGCTCTGTGGATATTGAGTCAAGCAACATTAAGTGGAAGGGAGAATATAATCACTTTATGCAGCACGTTGTCAACTCTTAAATACCTGGCTTTGAGGAGTGGATGCAGCATTCCCAGTAGAAGGTCTGACTTTGGAAGTTTTGCTTAAGGCTTTTTTCTGCTGTAAGGCCATGGTGTACTTGCTGACAGCATTCCTATATTCCTTGTCATGGAAGAGGGAATCTGCATGATAGACAAGGAGCTGGTACTTCTGAGATGGAGAGAACAGTTCCCTAGGAGAAATGCAAACACAAAGACTGAGATCAGCTGGCTGCACAACAACCAAACCTTACAGATCCAAAGGATTTGTAGCTTTGTTTGGCTTGGGTTTCCAACTGCTGTAGCTTTTTTACTACACTGGAAGGACATTGGGTAACAGGTACTGGCTTTTCACACAGGGATTATCTCAGCAATTCCTTTTATCTGTAAATAAACAAATCCAACAGCCACTCCTGACACTTCATCAGCAACAACAGCTCAGTGTTTGGCTGCCTGGCCACTGCCCCCATCCTTCCCAAAACAAGCCACAGGCTGTCAATGTCCATTACATGGAGCCAGCTTTCTCTTAGGATTTTACTCACCTTTTATTAGGATCCAGCAATTTGCCAGTTCAAGTTTTAGAACAGAGTTTTGTTTGAATAGACTTAAGTTTAAAAGGCAAGCCAGCTTCTCGTGCAGCTGTTTTGATCCTAATCCATATTCCCACATTAGAACACTCCTAGTATGTGTTTAGACCAAATGGCCTAATTATGGCCTTCCAGGACCTGAAGGGACCCAACAAAAAGCATGGAGAGAGAATATTTACAAAGGCCTGGAGTGACAGGACAAGGGGGAATGGCTTCACACGGACAGAGGGCAGGGTTAGATTGGATATTAGGAAAAATTCTTCCCTGTGAGGAGGCCCTGGCACAGGTTGTCCAGGATTGGAAGTGTCCAAGGCCAAGCTGGACGGGGCTCGGAGCAACCTGGGATAGTGGAAGGTGAAACAAGAGAGGGATAGCTCATGGTAGGAGGGGTGAAACAAGACAATCTTCAAGGTCCTTTCCAACCTGAACGATTGGGTGATTCGCTGCCAGGACACCCTCGCTGAAGCGAGCACCCAAAGGGACGCTGATGCTGACACCCAAAAAGACAAACTCCATTCCCGACAGGAACAGAGGGCAGGACGGGGACAGCAGAGGGAAATGCCAGCGCCAGGATACGGACAGGGACACCCCAAAAGCGGCCCGGTCCCCCCGCCCTCAGCGCCCCGCGCGCTCCCCGGGTTCAACAACTCACGGGTTGTTGCCGCTCATGGTGAGGAGCAGCCCGCTGAGCAGCCGCACGTTGGAGTGCAGCCCGGCGGCCGCCATCTCCCGCACGTGCTCCACCACACTCATGCTGCCGCCGGCGGGGGGAAGCGGGAGAGAGAGACCGAGCGAGGCACCGGGCACGGAACTGCTGCCACCGCCGCCGCCGCCGCCGCCGCCGCCACTCCAAAATGGCGCCACCGAGGGGTCCTCGCGCGCCGCCGCCTGCAGGCGCCCAAGGCACTGCCGGAGCGAAGGGACAGGCGCGCGGAGGGCAGCCCGCGCCCAGCACAGCCCGCGCCGAGGACCCCGCGCGGCGGCGGGAACGGGCGTGAGGGGAGAGCGGGGTTCGGACCGAGCGTGTGAGGGGATCCGCTCCTCTGTGTTTTCTGGGGGAAAACACACACTTTCCGTGCCTCCACAGCTCCTGAGTCCGCCCCTTCTCCTTCTGAGAATATGTTGGTGGCTGCTGCAACTGAATGTGACTGAGGTCTCCGAGATAACGATGCTCCTGCCTATAAAAATTGGAAACTTGAGGAGGACCTTTCTAAACCTAGATTTCTTCTGAGAAATTCCTCACTAGGGTTACTGTTAACGACAAGGATAGACTGAGAGATGAATCATAAACTTTTATTTTCCTATCTTTATTACAAAAACAATGTAAACCATGGCTGTCCTGTTCCTAAAACGGAATCAGTGGAGCTTTTAGTTTGGACATGTTATCATGAGGAGGAACACAGCTCTCAGCAGACAAACACACCAGGCAGCGAAACATCACCAGCACTGGGCTTCAGATAACATAAGAAGTGTGTGGGTGCTTTGTGGTGAATGTGATACAATCCTGCCACAAAGGAACAAAACCTGAATAAATGTGGATTTGTGTTCTCCCAGAAATCATCTGAGTGATCAGAACAGCCACTTTTTACCAGTTTGGGTGTGTTTGAATCCGCCATCAGGAAGGCAGCCACAGCTGAGTGGGGTCTGTCCGTGTTACCCTTTGAAAGCATTTCTGGAGCACAGCTCTGCAGAGACAGACCTGCTAAATAAACAGCTACATTGCTACAAACTGCAGCCCCTGTATTAATCCCAGTTTTCAGTGGGAATGGTCCACTTCCTACCGATTAATGTTACACAATAATCATGGAATCACAGAATGATTTGGGTTGGAAGGGACCTTACGGGTCATTTCACTCCACCCATGGGTAGGGACACCTTCCACTATCCCAGGTTGCTCCAAGCCTCATCCAACCTTGCCTTGGACACTTCCAGGGATGAAGCAGCCACAGCTTTGGGCAGCCTGTACCAAGGCCCATCACAGGGAAGATTTTTTTCCCCAGTATCCAATCTAAACCTACCCTCTGTCAATTCAAAGCCATTCCCCCTCATCCTGGCACTCCCTTCAGGTCCTGGAAGGCCACAGTTAGGTCACCCCAAAGCCTTTCACAAAAAAAAAGAAAAACAAAAAAAAACACCCTCTTTGATTTCTTTGAAGGCTGTCCACAAGACACACAGTAGTTACCACATTACTTACAAGCAAATTTTATTGAAAACAAGGTAAAAATCACTGCACTGGACAACACAGCGTGAGAGGTCTGTTTTCCCGGGACACACGACACCCAGACTCCAGCCAGCAGAGCAATGACACAGCTCCCCTGCCCCACAGCCAAGCCCATTTCTTCTCTTAAATACAAGCCCTGTTTCAAATGCTGTAGCCACGATTACAAAGCAGCTTGCATCCAAAAACAACATGTTAGAAATCACTTATTAAGCACCAGCTTAATAATATTTGCTAAGACAACTTATCTTTTTGCTCTCCCTCCCTCTTATCACTCATTGACAGGTTTGGGGTTTTTTTTTTTTTCTTTTTTTACTTCATAAGCACTTAATTCTTCTTGGTACAAAATGTATCCAAAACAAAGGCAAAAGACTTGAACATCTTGCTGTGGAAATGTTTAAAGTTGTCACCCCTTTGCTTCACTGCCCAGGGCCTGAGAGACTCTTGTTCATGAACTGCCTCTTCACAAAGCAGATCCACCACTGCAGAAGGAAGTACAAAGTCAGAAAATATGCAAAAGTGGTTTCCATTGACTTTGAAGTATTCAATCTCTGATATATAACGCATGTTAAGGCTCCAGTTTTACACATAGTTTTCCACACTGGTTTCCACTGGAGTTGAGGTGAACGAGACAGTAGGAATGGACACAATGACTTCATATTACAGGACTTTGAATTAAAATGGGAAACTCTCTTATTTATCTTACTTTTTCAATATTTTATTCCAATACAGTCATAAAGGAGGGATGCATTGGAAAGCTATGCCTTTGAAACTAAATTACCCCAAATAATTTCAGTATTAAATGCAGACACATTTGCACATGAAACATGTGAACAGTCAGGAGGTGACTCATTCATCGATTAGCAATTTTTTTAAATCTGGATATGAGGCAAAACAATCAACTTCAAAGCAGCTCTCAAATCAGAGCTGCCTGGGAAGAGAAACAGCACCTCCTGTGCTTGTGAACTTCCATTTGCAACCCCAGCCAAGAGCAGATGTGCAGTGCTTTGAAGAGCTGAACCAGACACTTCTTATTACTGCCCTGCTTTTGAAAGCAACCCAAATTGGCGTTCAGTGTCATATTACATTAGATTAAATTTATTGGTAACTTGCAGCTGCCATTTCACTGTAGTATCAGTCAGGCTTGGCTGAAATTACCCACCCCTGATCCTCACGCCATCGTCTCACTTCTCTCCACACGTGGCTGAAAAAACACCCCAAACCTCTCACTACCTCTGTGATGATGCCACTGAACTCTTACCTTGCTTGGCTTGTCACTCTGAGGATCAAATACTTTGTCACAAAGGCGAAGGCCGGTTTCTTGCCTCAGCTGCTGCAGGTAGGCCCTCATCACCTCTGAAAGCAGCACAGCAAAACCAGGGTGAACTGGGGAGCACCAACTCAAACTGGATTTAACAGGGAGGCATCAGACATCACTGCCTAGAGCAGAGAGGGAGTTTTACATCTGCAGGTACTCCCAGCTGGCTGAGTTAGTTTGCTCAATTTATCTATGGATCCAGGAGAATCTCCAAAGTCAGAAAATCCAGCTTGTGCTGCCTTCAGAAGACAGACTGCATATTTTAAAGATATAGTTTCAACAGTAATTTTTCTAACTGCTGTCACAAAAATGCAGTTAATAAAGTGTGAGTCCAAGGCAGCCATCGGAAGCCCTGGATCAGCCTTACCTTCCTCCTGCTTGTTGGCAGGTTTGGCGTAAATGGCGTTGAGTGGAAAGCCAGGCTCCCCTGGGATTGGGAAGTTAGTGATTCCTAGCGTGTACATTTCCTTCTCTCCTTGGCCTTTGGAGTTACACTGAACAACAAGGCAAAAAATAGATTAGCACAAAAACTGGGAGAGCATTAGACCCAAATATTTTACAAATCTTTAACATGAAAACTCATCAAGAAGAGCAACACAGCATATCCACAGCCTTGGAGTATCTGTGGCTCTGACAACTGGGACTGGGGTGAAGAGGATAATTTGTGCCCCTGGAGAGTATCAGGAAATCCTTTTCTAAGAACAATCCTCAGAACAAACTATTTCCCTCCTGCACAGAAATTCAGTTTCCTTACCTTCTGCAGCTTTTTCAGGCATTCAGAAATGTAGAGGGTTACATAGATCAGTGTTCTGTCAGCCTCGTTCTGCAAAACAAGAGCAAAAACTCTCAGATTACAGGACTTTGTGCAACTGATAAAAGTCTGAAACAGAAATCAATTCAAGCCATTTTGAACTATAGTTTCCCCATGAGAGAGAGATTTGCAATTCATGACATTTACCCAACTTTAAAGATTAAGTGGAAGGGGAGATTTTGTGATCCAGTAGAATTACTTCCTTGAAAATAAATTGATATTCACAGCCGCAACCCTCCAAAGAACTAGTATAAGCTCAGTATCTGAAAAAATTACCTTAATTTCATAATTTTTGAAGAAAACATTAGCTTTGAAGTAGTAGATGGCTTCATCTATAATATCTGTGTCCTTAGCTAATGAAAGAGAGATACAGAGTTAAGCAGTGCACTGTTATACTACATTTGTCACAACTTCTACTCACTGAAATACATGAATAAGGATTATTGCAAAGGCACAACCTTGGTATTTACAAAAAGCAGAAGTCAGCACCATGTAACAGAAAACATGTGAAACACTGAGCTCAGATTGTAATATTTAAGCTTCCTACTCCCTTCTCCTTCCCCTGTGATATGTCACTTCACAAAGAGCAGAAATTCAGCAGTTCCTCACTTTTCTACCAGCTGAACAACTCATCAGTTTTAACATTATAAAAAGATACAAAAAACCTTTTTGGAGGAAGCAGACCAGCACAATCACTCACATTTCATTACCCTCTTCAAAAAAAAAGGAGGGGAGCAGAACACAGTGACAAGCTGACTTTAGCTATCATCCAAGACTGCTTAAACCCAGAAACACTTCCTTTACATTCCCCTTCTCAAACTGAACCACCACATTTCTGGGGAATATCATGCCTGGAAAATTCACGTGCTGAAATGGAATTTGTACCAGATTGCCTGCAGACCCTGTTGGGGTGTCTGTAACTTCATTTCAATTTTTGAAGCCCCCTATCCTGAAGTGCTGCTGTCCCACTCCTTATCCCTTAGAGCAGCCGAGCATCTCCAGCCACAGCCCAAAGTGCGATTTCTCTGCAGCTGAACCCCCACTTCCTCTGACACAGAAGTTTCACAGTATCACAATCTCCTCCAAACCCTCCTCAGGAGAGACACGGGGATAAGCATGAGAACAGCAACCAGAGGCTTGGAGAACCGAAACTACTTTTCAGCAGAAGCACAGAGCATATTTATCTGTGCATAATTATTTTCTATAATTTGCACAACTGAAGTAGTTGAAAACTTCTTTCCTTCCCCTCTAAACTACAAAGCCCTCAATTTCCCTTCTGTGACTCTTTTTGTCACTCCTGCTGGGTGTGGCTTAGAGCAACCCTTGAGATGATGAACCACATCCTTTTAGAGATTAAAATAAACTTACTTTCTCGAGGTGCTGGGCCCTTGAACTGGCTTCTGATGGGTAACAGTGCCATGTTCCCAACTAGCTTGGTGTCTGAGTCCATTAAAGTGGAGTGGTAAGCCTAGAGACACAGAGAGCTGGTTATTGATCCTACTGAAAACAGACATTTCCACATCCAGTAACATGTCCCCCATGTCTTCATCAATGAGGAGTCACAGCCTAGCTCATTATGATGCTTCCAGTATTTTT